GGACACGGCTAATCGTATAGGTTATTTATATCAACGCCCGCGTTCCATTCGCAGTGCAGTCGCGACTTGTTTCAAAAGAAAAACATTTAGAGCTCAGCAAGGACAAAAGCATTTGAAGGCTGAAAGCCGCTGAACTTTCTCGACACAACAGGCTAGTGTATGTTGCGGTTTGTGGTATTTGTGTTGTCATTAAAATGTATTTTAAGGAATCATTTCTGCCTTCACATCTGGCCAATATTATGAATATGTCGTGCACAGAAAATTTTCATCAGTACTTTTAATTCTGACTCATTAGGCTCTCTCGTTTGAAGTTGTTTCTTGCCCGATTTCGAATGTGGACAGTTTCGATACTCAATACATTGAACAGCTGTCCTCATAAATTGCACAGCCTGTCTAAGGAAGGCTGACTCATCACTTAGCTTTCCCCTTGCAATTAAAAAGTGATCTAGGTGTCCGAGTATGGCATGTGCTTTACCTTATCCAAGTGCCAATTGCTTTCTCAAGACTGACAGGACCCTATGACTGCACCCATGAATCATTTTGCTTTTTATAAAGATGATTGTGGCGTAACTTGTTTGGTACACAGTCTGGCCTCAGACTTGTGCGAAGTAAACGATTACCTGGACTCACTCTCTGTGGTGGTCGACAACCGAGAGTACCACGGGAGTTTGATCGCTGACCGAGGTGGTGTTGCGGAAGGTGTCAAATCACGAATAGTGAAAGTTAGGTTCTCTTGTGTCAACCAACGATATCTGTGGCGCTTGTAGTGTTCTGTTCTACGGTTGCGGGACCAGGCCCCTCCGCGTTGAGGACGCTAATCGACTTTCTGCATTTGACCACTGATGTCTACAAAGTGAGCAATGACGCGGTTCATCGTCCTGTGTTATATGCGGATAGTCGTTCTCCAAAAGAAGTAATCGCCTCTGATGGCTTGGTCAGGTTTTGCATATACCCAATCATTGTCTACGCTTCGATGCTCTTTTTGCACATCCTGGGCAAGGCTGGAAGAAGCGCCGCGGCGGTCCGACCATAACCTGTCGTAGAGGTATCGGAAAGCTGGCTTTGGCTTAGGTTAGTGCTCCGTAAAAAAGAATAAACGGACACAAAAATGTAAACAATTTTACTGTGAAACGAACAAAAGTATTTGTTGACCATCTCATTTTGCTTTTTACCCCATCCCGAGCTACAAAGGACTTAGCCTTCAGTGCACGGCCTCACTAAAGTGTGCCTCATATGTGACCAGTTTATTTCCAGTATCCGTGACATCAATTTTCGCTGTTGCTTGGCTTGTACGAGCTCTGAGGCTGTCAATTTTCCGTGAGGCGTTACTCCTCATGACAAACCTATCGCTTCTTTGCACGCAGATGGAGTTGAATCGTAGTGTTTTTTGTAGTGCTCAAGTCAGAAGATTTTTTCTCATTCTCTCCATGGCCTGATGGTTGAACATGCCATCATGCTTGCACTTTGCGATATTGGCCACTCATAATTTCGCTCGTTTTTAAGTCTACTTCGATGGGAGTAAGTGAACTGCATGTCGTTTGTAACTTATATCTCCCTATGAGTCAGATACAGGGTGACCAATATTCTACTTGATTTTAACCGAATGAATACACCCCAATTCGGTGCCAACCATTGTCATAACTACGAGACAGATAGGATATCAACTGGTCAGCACCAGTGCACTTATCGCTTGGATGTAACAATAAGTGAATAAGTCAGTGGGCATGTGAGAATCCTGTTGAAATTTTTTTACGGAAGCTATCTGGATCATTGAACACAACTGATAAATCCGGTGGTTATTTTAGGTTAGATGGGAAAATAAGGCATGTTGGTAGCACTCATCTACCTTCCGCTTGGTTCATAATTTTTTTCTATTTATAACGACTAATGCAAAACAAACTTCCAAAACATTTTTATTTTACTAAAATGGAAAATATTGTCCATTACCTGTCGTTTGAATGCTTATTGAATGAGGCCACTGAACTTCTCCAGTTTCTTTTCGACTCCACTTTCAACTTTCCTTTCTTCTATTCTTCATCCAAATGGGCAGCCAAAAGACAGCAACCAAAACCGGCGCTCGAATATGCGTGGCTGATGGTTGTTCAAACTGAAACTGATTGAATGAGGCTTGTATGTTTCCTTCTGATGTCCCCGGGAGTGCATTCTAGGGGCGGGTCACGTTGGTTACATCGTTTCTCTGCCTGTTACTTGTGTTGACATAGTCCACACTGACTTTTGAAAGAGTCCCCAACAGTACTGGCAAATGATCTACAGTGTCCGTTAATCGGTGTCTTCAGTAACTACTGAACTAGACTAATTAAGTTAAACACCACTGCTTTATTTGTCTGTCATTTATTAATGTGATACTCCAATGTTGATAGGCAATTGTTGAAGATTTCGTTTTCAAATATACTAACCCTCTGCGACTAAAGTTTTCTTTTTTTGCCTGATCCATTTTTGACTTGGGTTTTTCCGGTCTCCTACATTTCTTATTCGCAGTATCATACGGCATGGGCTCAGCAGTAAATTGAATCACATTGCTGATGTTTTTGTTTTGAACTAAATAAAAAATCATGATCAACACATAGCGGGAAATTTACCCATAGTTTGCTCCATCTCACCTCCACTGGTCTGATGGTGTCCTTTGAGCTGCACATGGTATATTCAGCTTCTGTATTTAGTTTTCCTCGCCAGTTTTCAAATAACTTAGAAAAACCTGTATGGGAATTACCGCAAGTCCGTTTTTTCATCAAACACTCCTTAGTCTGTCATGGGTGACACCTCTTCAGTTGCCTGAGAGGTGCAATATTTTGGAATCGTGGTTCTATTCCAGTCTAGATAGTTCTTTGGTCATCAACTGATCGAACTAACACATCACCTTGGACATGTTTTCCTTCAAGATGAACTATTATCTATTTTGCAATTTTTATTCTGTCCGTTTGCTCAAGTGAATCGTATCATTTGTCCGCAAGTAGACTTGCATCGCGCTATAGATGTTTACCTGTATTTTTTACTGTCTGATAGACTGCTAATTTTCAGTAGACCTGACCCCAACGATGATAGCTTGCAAACCAGTAGTCCTGTTCCTCATGATCAATTCCATCTTGGATTTCAGTTACAAAATAAACAAAATATTTAGTCAGTCAAAATATATTCTTTCACGCATGATCGGGCGTGGGATGCGATTCGTTTACTTAGCATCGATTCCTTCTTCTCTAGGGTAGCATTTGTTCTTTATGAGAAATGCAGCCAAATATTCAATTGGTTTAGGTGGTCTGAAAAACGAAGAGTCAAACAAACCGTTCACAATCTTACTTTTCTTTTACAAGGCATTGTAAACCTTTGATAAGAACGGGCACGACTGAGTATTCCAGATATGCTCGCATGGGGAGCGCTTGCAATTCAGTCGCAGTAATGGATTGATTCGCATTTTTTGTTGCTAGCTCAATCACCCTCTCCACTGTGGGACTCAGAATAGTTGATAATATCGGTTCGAGACGAGGTTCGCTTTTTTCGTTTCGCTGATAAGTGTCAGCTGTCCCATCCATGCGTCCTGAAATAAAAATTTGGTGAACTGGTATGTTTGGTTTTATTTATGGGCCCTTTTCAAGATTTTGTGTCGATTCTTTATTTAAAAACGGCTTCCGTCGACTAAAAACGAAGACATTGGCATTCAAACCACTTAGTACATTGATAGTGACGAAGCGTACTCTTCCTGGATTGGGAAA